ATTTCACTGAATGGGCTGAAGTAAGGCAAGGAATGGAAGGAAGAATTGATGTATGCTGGATGTATTCACAGTGACGGTCGGTTGGTTAATGAATACTCTGTCTCCAGTCTTCTTAGATATGACTTCCTTATAGAACTTAGAGGGAATTAATGGCTAAAGTTAGGAAGTTTCAGTTGGAATGTTATCAGTGACCATTGTTAGGTTCAGATGCAGTTTTAATCATTACAGGCTACAGCTAACAATTGTCTGCAGCTTTTTTGTGACATTCCAGGGGATCTTGCCCCATAGCTTCAAACCATAGGTCTAGCGTGGAAGGTCCTTATACATGTATTGAGCTCCATCAAAGTATTTTAAATCAAGAACTAGAACCAAATATACTAAAATGTGGTTATTTGGATAATAGTCAAGTAAGTGACTAGAGTCATTCATCTAGTTAATCATTTCATTATGAACAAAATGATTGAGAAAAGGTTAATTTTAAAAATCTAGGTTTAGTTCCTGGCATTTTGTAGTGACAAATTTTCACTTTAATGCCTTAAGAATACTTAGAGCTTTTGCTTTAGTTTTAGTGTGTTTAATGCAGGCCTGTACTCATGCAAGTCAACTCCTTGCCCATAATTTACTTGTGTGTGAAGCCCCCAATCTTATTTATGTTGCTCAAACATGGCTGAGAGAGACAGCTGTGACATTATGAATCCAGCTGGCCACAGATGGGTTTTCAGTGAAGCATGGATCCATATTGGTTTGGTGATCTGTGTGTACTGCCTCCTGTTAAAATTCACACTCAACCACTAAATCACCTGGCATTGACTGCAACCACTTATGTATGACTAATAGACTGAAGTGAACTGGAATTTTGTTGCTAGTGATCAAGACCCTTACTGTAATATAAACTATACTATAGTTTTATTGACTATTTAGCTCATGTTAGAATCTGTTTAGTTTAGTCACTTTGCAACAGGTTTTAATAGCCTTGGTTATCCCATGTTGTCAGGATGTTATTATAATTAACCTTTTCCAGATCTTGTATATTGAAATCTCCATGTGTTTGTTATGGATTTGATGGTTAAGGTTTAAATCTCAATGAAAAAATAATTGAAGTTAGAGGCTGAAAAAAAATTTATTTAGGATCTTAAAAGCCTGTATCAATGATCAATAGTTACTTAGAAGGCTGGTAGAACTGCAAGATTTTCTAGATAGTGCAAAAAAGAAAGCAAAGCATAAAAGAAAACAAAGGATGTGTGAGTTGTTAAAATAATCAGCTAAAGCACCAAACAAAATAACTTCAGTTGTGCCTCTTAGCAAATAAAATATAATTCTGAATTACTGCCCAAATCACTAGGTATATGAAACCCCACAATTTCACTTTTTTAGAGTCCAATGTGATATTCAAACTGGCTAAAATTGCTGATATAAATATATGTCTGTCTTGTTCTTTACAATCCAACCAGGAAATCTTGTTAAATGTTAATGGATATGCAAATGAGTGAAATAGTAACTGAAAATTTTTATGACAGGTCTGCATATTTGTAACTTTTCTTCATATTTATCCAAAGCAGCAAAAATAAGAATAATTACTCAATAATGACTTTATATATTATTATTAGAGTTAGAAGACAGAACTATTCAGAGCATCACATTAGATTGTGATTTTATATATTATATATTTATATAGTCTTTATATATTATTCTTCATTTTTAAGTATATTAGTTATTTCATAAACTATCAGTACTGTCTCATCTGCATTGTTATAGCATCTAGCACTTATCATATGTCCACAGCCACAGGCAAGGATACTTTATTTTGTGCTGCTATATTATTCTGGGTGAATACAGGACCGTTATCTTGCAGTCAATCAAGAAGCTATAAATGTAGTTGGAGAGATTAAGTGAACACACAAAACAATTTTTGGAAGTTTTTAATATTTTCTTCCGTGGAAAAGTTTTTCATGATTCAATCTCATTTTATTGCTGTTTCTAGGATTTAATGTTTGGAGATCTACCCATGCCATATATAAATAAATATGAACGACTTTATTAAATCATAATTTAAACAAATATTTATTAATTCTCCACTGGAGAATCAACAGTGGACAGGATTGCCAAAATAGCTTCCTGTCCTTCTGGATAGTTTTTTCTCTTGGTTTTCAGTGATATGATCTTGTTTCTTGACATCCTAGTAATTTTGGAATGATGGACAGATGTTATGTATAAAAGTGTGTAGAGGATAAAACAAAATTTTATTTTTCCACAAAAGGTTTACTTTTTCCTTTGTTAGGTAGAAAGAGTAGAAGCTGATCACCACAATCCAGTCATAAAATGGAGTGGGTAAAGGCTGGTTTACACTTTCATCAAGGATTCATCCGTCTCTGGTTTTCTATAGCCCTCCAGAGGGCTGTATTCTCTTGGACCACATTCTCTGGCTGGTTCTGAACTCTATAATAGAGTCCTCAGCATAAGGAAGTAGCCAAAGCTCCTTAATGCTTTTTAGAGGTTTTACTTAGTCTTTTAGTCTCCTTCCTACTTCCTTTTGCCATCCTTTTCCCTCTGAAAAGCCCCAGAGTGTGGTGGAGTTTTTTTTCTTTCTTTCTTTCTTTCAGTTCTTAGCTGGATGGTTGATCTGTTGCGAGTGTATCCAGCCGCCTGTCTCTATTTTTAGATACTAAAATAAAAGAATGATACCTTCTCTTTTACACATCTATGCAATTACAGGGAATATACCCTAAAATTTCCATACTACCCCAAGATATTATAGAACTAATTGGAAAAAGGACAGGTGGGGCATTGAACAAGTTCTTCAAATTAGGTATCATTGAAAGAACTGGGCAATTACCAGAGCTAATCCTTTATAGTAACGTTGAGTTCGCTGACCAAGAGCTGTTCAGTGATCGTGGTACTGAAGGGTGCTATGCTACACCAAGTTGTCCAAGTGAATAACTTGGGGGCTTTCAAGTGGATGCTACTTTGATTGGTGAATTCAACATGAATTGAAACTCAAGATTTGAATGTTGCTCTGGAGAGCTAAAGGTTCTGCATACTATTCTTGACTTCTTATTATGATTTATCTTAAAGGGAAGTAAGTCTTAATTTTTATCATCTACTAAGCTACTTGTGGACAGAGTAGACATTTGTTGTGTTTTATATCTTTATTAACACTTATAAGAAGAAGGTGTTGCTTAGTGGTTAAATTTCTGGGTTTGTGAGTCAGTCAAGTTCAGATTTGAATCCTGTCCATTTACCAGATGCTTGACCTTAAGCAAGTTGCAGAAACTCTGTAAATCTCAATTTCGTATTGTGAATTGGTAATAATAATACATTTCATTGTACCATTGTGAGAGTTGATGTATACACTGTATTTAAAGTGGCAATAACTATCTTTGGCACCTTATAAGCATGCAATTTATGGTAGCTATAAATTTTGGGCTACTATGAAAATCCATGGAATTGGCGATACAGAATTTTGGGTTTAGTCCTTAAAATATTTACACAGACTCTCCAAGGTAGGTGAATGAAGTTTGTTGAAAAAGAGTTATGTTAAGAATTTTTAAGTTTGCTTTTTTTAAAATAAAACTAGTTAAATATCTATTTATTTTATAGATAACAGAACCATCTGAAATAACTCCAGAAAAGAAAAAACTGGAGATAGTTTACCTCTTAGTAACTTCAAAAACATATCTCTTCACAATTTCAGTAGATAAATAATGAACAATCATTATCTATTGGATATATTTTAAAAATAAGAATTAAGTTTTACCAATACTCTAAATTGTACAGATATTATTTTGTATAAGAAAAGGAGCAGGCCGGGCGCGGTGGCTCAAGCCTGTAATCCCAGCACTTTGGGAGGCTGAGACGGGTGGATCACGAGGTCAGGAGATCGAGACCATCCTGGCTAACACGGTGAAACCCCGTCTCTACTAAGAAATACAAAAAACTAGCCGGGCGAGGTGGCGGGCGCCTGTAGTCCCAGCTACTTGGGAGGCTGAGGCCGGAGAATGGCGTGATCCCAGGAGGCGGAGCTTGCAGTGAGCTGAGATCCGGCCACTGCACTCCAGCCTGGGCTACAGAGCAAGACTCCGTCTCAAAAAAAAAAAAAAAAAAAAAAAAAGGAGCAAAATTTAAGATAAAAATAGTTAAGTGAAAAAAACTTAAGAGTAAAATAAAAACTAAAAGAGAGAGAGAAATTTGTCACCTAGCTACCATTCGTTAGTTATATTACATGAATAGGGCAAGTTATGTGATCTGAGTCCCAGTTTTTTCAGAGAAACTGCAAAATCAGAAAAATAATAATTAGTGTTTTCTTGAATATTAAATGAAAAAGTAGAAATGAAAATGCCTGATGAACAGTAAGCATAGTCTTAATACTAATATTTAATGATCAGTGGAAATAGGAATTAGCTATACAAAAAACAAATAGTATAATTATATTTTCTTATTATTTATATTTCAGTAATAATTTAAATCACACATATTTGAATGAAATTTCATACTGCTTTATTATGCATGGGAATTTTTCTTAAATCTTGATATTATTATAAACATTATTCAGTTATGATGTTCTATCTAAAGCCTAATCCCAGCATTTTTCCAATTGTTTTGATTTGATGGAACTGAAGGAAAGTTAGCTCTTCTCTCCTCTTTCAAGTTACTCCAATTTAGGAAGTGTTTCTGCTCCGCTTATACTTGAGTGAGCATGCAGAAATACCTTTACTGAGTATTTCTGTTTGATTTTTCAAAAGCTGTCATTAGTCTTACAGTTCAAATATGAAATGCACATGGTAATTGGTAGAGCCACATTCAGTTTTCAAGTGTAGCTGAAAGTGACCCAGACACCCCGAGAGCTCTTCTTAGCCTTCTAGATTTGTAAGCCTATGTGATGGGACAAGAGCAAGACAGCTTGTTGAGAGTGGGGAAAGTCCCTTTGCCTGTTGCTGAACCAGAAAGCCTTAACTGTATGACTCTCTGAGTCCGGACAATGTCTTGTGTGTTTGTTTCCACAGAGCATATATCATTACAGACTATATGGGCATCCGAAATGAAAGTTTCATGAAATTAGCTGCAGTAGGGACCTGGATGGGGGACTTTGTCACAGCTTGGATGGTAAGAAAATTTTAACTTCACCCATTTCAAACATCAAACGGAAGACATGTTGACAATGTTGGACAGACACTGCTTTTGATGGTGTAGAGTAAAATAATTACCTCTCTTTGAGTGAAACAAATTTATGAGTAAAGATAATTCCAGAGATTATATCCAATATCTGTGGACCTCAGAGAAAAATCAATGCAATTAGAATATAAGTAATGGCACTCCACTAGAATCTGTCTATCTGTCTGTCTGTCTATCTATCTATCTAAACACACATGTATGTTTGAGCATATAAACATATGCAGTCATAACATTAATAGAAATTCTCCCTGTGAAATTATAAATAATTTTGTTTGTCTAAATAATTTTGGCTTTTTTTAAAGGCATGTACAATTTTCAGGTAAGGAATGTAGTCTGTGGCCTGTCTCAGAAGAGCATATGAAATATTTTTTTAACGATTTAAGAAATAGTTTTCTACATTTATTTTCCTCATTGAAGCTACTAATATAATGGTAACTGAGTTCTGAGTATTACCTCTTTTAATCTCTTTTGTATTTTCTTATTCCTTGTCACTAAAAGCCTGGAACAGACAGACAAACATGTCTTCTGCTGAGCTCATCTGTCAAGAAAGTATCTTCTGTTTTTAATTATTGGGTTAAAATTTAAAGATAGCATGTTGCTAGAAGGCTCTGGGTTCTATAAATTTATGAGAGACTCACAAAATGCAAAGAGTGTAACTCCCATGAAAATGGAGCACTTCATTAACACCATTCATAAATGCAGTTGATTCTAATTACCTTTGTCAGTCTATTCACTTGAAAATGAGGAGATATACCAGAAGGCAGATAATGCCTGACCGAAACAAGACTTGCTGTGGCCATGTCCCTGCAGATATGTCCCAGATATTGTAGGTAGGAACAAAAGAGTTTCTGCCATTTCTATTGATTGCTTCTTACCTGGAACAGGTGCTTTCCGGGATCAGGAAGCAGTTGTAGCTTAACTGCTCCTACTGAGAACATCCAGGAAGAATATCAGGTAACCACGAAAGGGTTTGTACGGCCTGTTTTGGAGCCTCCACCTACCTCTGTTGATTTTTAGAATGTTAACAGATTACTAGATGGATCCTATTCCATTAACTTTAAAATGTAAACTTGAAAAATGATTTATTTGTCATCTCTAGAAATAGCAATTAGAGTAAGCTAGACATTGAGACCAGGCTGCCTCATGTGAAAAATGTCTTTTTTCCTGGCCGGGCGCAGTGGCTCACACCTGTAATCCCAGCACTTTGGGAGGCCAAGGCAGGTGGATCACGAGGTCAGGAGATCGAGACCATCCTGGCTAACATGGTGAAACCCCGTCTCTACTAAAAATACAAAAAATTAACTGGGCGTGGTGGCGGGCGCCTGTAGTCCCAGCTACTCAGGAGACTGAGGCAGGAGAATGGTGTGAACTCAGGAGGCAGAGCCTGCAGTGAGCGGAGATCGCACCACCGCACTCCAGCCTGGGGGACAGAGTGAGACTCCGTCTCAAATAAAAATTTCTTTTTTTCCATTGGAAGAAGCTTTTTAGGAGCAGATACATAAACTTTGAAAAACGTGATTTCCTTGAAATTTGAGGGGATGTTTAAAAAAATTTTTCGACATTAATTGTGCATTGTGATTTCGACACCACTTTATGGCGAATCTGCTTAATAAGATGGAAAAGGTAACTAGATTAAGAGTCCAGGAATTTGAATTATCTGACCTGACCACCTATGGTTCGACCTTCCACAAATAATAAAACAGTTCTCTGAGGCTCAGTTTGCAGATTTATCAAATAGGGTTAACAGTTCCTTCCTGTGTTACATATTTTCTGTAAAGCTTAAATGTGTGGCCCTGTGATGTGACTTAAAATGCTAAAGTATGAGGTACACAGAAGCACTTCATTGTGCACATTGTGAGGCCCTTCATCCCTTTAGCTTGGCTCAGTCCTTTGAGGTGATGGCAAGGGCAAGTCATTGATCCAAGATTCAGGATGCCTAGACTTCCTGAGCCCCATAAGTGGGAGCAGCCCACTTTATACCAGGCCTGGGGTCCAGAGTGTCTGGAGTTTCTTTCAATCGCCAATGCTTCAGTAGACTAAGATGATATAGTACATTGCTTCCTGACTGTTGTCTCAGAGTGAACCTGACAAAAGTTAGAGGAAAAACAATGAACCAGCAGGACCTAGGAGCTCACTCTGGAGTTTGCAGGCTCATGCCAGCCATTTATTACATAAATCATTTTCTTTTCTACTATGACAACATTGTTTGTTTATAACCCAATTCTATCCAATTCCTCCCCAGCCATTTCTTTCTATACCATAAACAGCTCTGCCTCTATTTATTGGTTCATTATTATTGTTTTTTAAATTAGCATTTTTTCTTTTTTAACCATAAGGAGGGGTCCAATTACTACAGCAGCCTTAGGAGGAAAATGCGTGGTAGAGTTTTGACCAAAGACCTTTAACCCTTCCTGGGTGGATTTCTACTCTGCACTTGCCTGCTCCTCTCATCTGGCTAAGGGGAGTACAAATAATTCCACAGTTCAGCCTGTGATATTTGTCTCCTTCCAAGATCTGGCTGACCTTCATAGTTTCTTCTAATTTTACTATTTTAATGCCTTATATTTCTACTGGCTAAACTGATAACTTCACTGTTTTCTATATAAAAGATTACTGCTACATCACAAAACTGAGACTGGATTGAGAGTCAAGCAAACGGTATTCTAGGTTGAACCCCACAATGTGATCTTAAGTCATCTAACCCCGTGGGGCCTTTCTGTAAGCTGGAAGAGAATCCAAAGTCTCTTTATGCTATGTTATATGAAACATTGACCTTTCCCCATTAGACACAGGGATAGAAATAGCAAAGAAAATACCAAGCGCTCCTGATTTTAAAATACAGTCACACAGGGAGGATTCCCAGAGCACATCATTTCTATTCCCATTTCTATTCACTGACTGGGCAGTGAGTTTCTGTATAAATATTTATATGTCTACATATGAGTATATTGATAACATTTAAAAAATAATATTTTCCCTCATGAGAGAAGTTTAAGGTAGCCTTGACCTTTGTCTGTCTATAGAATTCTCATCATGAAATGAATATCAATGATGAGAGTGACTATCATGGAAAAGCAACTATTTAAGTTAACAATCAAAGTGTGTCTTTTATATATTTCTGAAATGGAGGATTTTTCTTTTATGGAAAGAATTCAAAGATTTTTCATAGTTTTAAAAGGCATATCAGTATTGATGTGATCCAAAGATAAGGATGGCATCAACCAATATGAGAAGTGTCTTTGGCCTTCACATTACAGAGCTTCAAGCTCTACTGGGTCCAATTTCCTAGGCAGTTCTGACTTTTCCTGGCTCTGTGGTACTCCCCATGCAGAGGACAAGAGATGTATGTCAAGATTAAGGGTGCTAATTCTTTTGTCAAATAGGTTTTTAAAATAAGTTAATATGTAAGAAATACGTAAAGTGTTGAGCGATGTAATCTGCATTGAGCTGGGTCTTTGCTATGGGCAGGAGCAGAGAAAAGCTCTGTCACGAAGATGTAAATAAAACAAGAGGGGGTGTCTCATGAGACACCGTTTCCAGGTATCCACCTATGTGCCCATGCACTGTGCCATTAAGTCAGAAGCTGGAGGAGAGTCGGCCAGTTCCATATCACATTGCCCCAGTTTTGCCATTGCTGCTTCAGCTTCTGATGAAGTCTAAGGTGGCAGGGGATTCCGAGGACATCATGATGGCACTTGCTTCTGCCCTTAATACCAGAGAGAAGAAGCACTTTATGCTGACCTATACCTAATAATCCCCTGTTCTAGCCCCTGGTACATCCTGTCCTAGTTGCTTCCATCTTACAGCAGTAAATGGTATGACTCACAATAGAATCAGGGCATCAGACTCTAGGTTTGAGGTTCTTGTTGGGGTGAGGTGTACAGATAAGATAAAACTGAGCCATGACCTAAGAAGACAATTCTGGGCCTGGTGCAGTGGCTCACACCTGTAATCCCAGCACTTTGGAAGGCTGAGACAGGTGGATCACTTGAGGTCAGGAGTTCACCAGCCTGGCCAACATGATGAAACCCCGTTTCTACTAAAGATACAAAAATTGGTCAGGTGTGGTGGCACATGCCTGCAATCCCAGCTACTTAGGAGCTGAGGCAGCAGAAAGGCTTGAATGTGGGAGGCGGAGGTTGCAGTGAGCGGAGACTGTGCCACTGCACTCCAGCCTGGGCAAGAGAGCAAGACTCTGTCTCAAGAAAAAAAAAAAAGAGAGACAATTCTGTTAGCCAACACTGAACATTGAAGTCATCATAAAGCATCCTTCATCCTGAAAACCATATACTGTGTATATCAACTCCTAATAGTCACAAGACATTGCTTGGCTTTAACATATTAGCGCTAGGATTATCTACTGGAATTTATATATATGTGCCACTACTAGCAAAGGCTTTACCATGAATGTCGTAGACACATAAAACAGGAAAAAATAAATTTAGTTGTTTGCCAGTTGGCTTTACTTTATTTATTTATTTATTTATTTATTTATTTATTTATTTATTTTCTTATTTAATCAGCAGCGCTTTTATTTCTTAGTGACCATAAAACAATGGTGTATCTTATAACTTTTGACATCTTAAATTTGACACAAATATGGTATATGAATTTGAAACAATACATTTCTCTCTAGTTACTGTTTTGATAGCATTCTACAATTTTTATGTGGTGTTTTCTTTTTTTTTAAATTATGCTTTATGTTCTAGGGTACACGTGCACAATGTGCAGGTTTGTTACATATGTATACATGTGCCATGTTGGTGTGCTGCACCCATTAACTCGTCATTTACATTAGGTATATCTCCTAATGCTATCCCTCCCCACTCCCCACACCCCACAACAGGCCCTGGTGTGCGATGTTCCCCTTCCCGTGTCCAAGTGTTCTCATTGTTCAGTTCCCACCTATGAGTGAGAACATGCGGTGTTTG